GGGTTGGGGGCACTGGGGACCCCAGAAGGGGCTGTACGAGGCTGCAGCCCTGAGGGCTCCGTGACGAGAGGGGGTGGGGGGGACCCCCTTCCCTTCCATCCCCAGCAACTCCCGGGAAACACCAAAACCAGTTGGGAAACACCAAAACCAGTTGGGAAACACCAAAACCAGTTGGGAAACACCTGCCATGCAAACCAGGAGGGAGGGTCCACGCCCCCTGTGCCCGGGGAGGTGCGAGGGAGGGGTGAAGCTCTGGGAGTGCCGGGGGACACCCCCTCCCCACTGCCACCAGCACCCAGAACCTACTGGTTGTCCTCTCTGGCAGCGTGGAAGGAAAGAGAGAGGGGCACGGCCCCCACATCAGACACGGCCATCCCGGGCAGCACAGAGCAGCACCTGAGCCAGCTGTGAGGGACATCTGGGGCCCCCCGCTCCCCATGGGCCTCAGAGCCAGACCCAGGCAGGCAGGGACAGACACGGGACGTGGCAGGACAGCCGGACAGCAGCAGGGGGACACGAACCCCTCCATGCCCCAGATGGCCCCCGCAGGGTGAGGAGGGGTTGGCACAAGCGTGTTGGGACACAGCGGAGCGGAGAGACAGGACACGACCCCAGAGCGACCCCAGGCTGGGCTTGAAGGGTGGGCTCGGCCCGGGACCCCCATCCCGGATCCCGGCGGGAGCGCAGGGCCCTTACAGAGTTTGGTAGGTGCTGTCCTTGGATTTGATGAACTTGATGACGAAGAAGGCGACGGCCTGGACGCACAGCACCAGCACGATGCCCCCGATGAAACTCGCCGTGTCGAAGCCGGGCGGGTGGAACTCGGGGCTGCCCGTCAGCGGGGCGCTGGTGGTGGTGGTCCCTGGAGGCCGGGGAAAATGGGAGGTTTGGGGACTTCTGGGTGCTGAGAATCACCCTCAGGCATCCCTGAGCACAGATGTGTCCCCCAAAGAGAAGGGATTTGGGGTCTGTGAAGAAACCAGTGGCTGCACAGGGAGGAATGGTGGGATGCTGGGACAGGCTCAGCCCCTTCCCATGCCAGAGCAGCTGGAGCTGCAGGAAAGGAGCCAGTGGCAAAAAGATCCCAGTGGGATCAATAATTCAGCAGGCTCCAGGCTCCGGTTACCTGCTGTAATTAGCCCAGCGCTCTCCAGTTCCCCCTTACTGGAAGAGGCTCCTTCTCCTCTCCCAGCCAGGCTGGAGGTGGCAATTCCCAGCAAGGATGGAATCAGGGCTTGTTCCTGGGGGGCTGATGGGTGCCTGAGTCCCTGTTTTGTTGCGTGCAGAGAGGGGACAGGGACACAGCTGTGACCTGGGACAGTGGCACATCCCTTGATCCAGCCCTGAGGGCAGCTCTGCTCATCCCTCCCAAAGGGATGTGACACAGAGAAGAGGGAAGGGCCTTGTTGGGACAAGTCACTGATCCCTGGTGCATCCAGGACCCCCATCCCACTGCCCCCCTCCCCTCCCCAGACCCACTCACTTGTGGAGTGTGTCACTGGCTCCTTGCTATGGGATCGTGGAGGCTCCTCTGTGTGGGACTTCAGTGCTGGAGAAGGTGGGGACAGAGGGAAGGGGTGGCAGGGGACATTGCCACACACCCCTGCAACCCATGTCCCTACCCCCGTGGCCCTGGCACCCCCAGCAGCGCTCAGAGGGTCTGGGGGGGTTTGGGGGTCCGGGGTTACCTCGGCACTGGGTGCTGGTGTTGTAGAGTGCGCAGGTGTCCCGCACTGCCGGCCCTCTCTGCTCACAGCTCCCCGTTTCTGCGGGAAGAGGGAGCAGAGTTTTCCCGAGGATCCCAAACCGGTGCAGCCAGTGGTGGTCAGGCCCAGGGCTGCCCTGGGCACCCGAGGGTTTGGGATGAGGAGCCTCTGTTCCCAGGGCTGGGCACCCACTGAGGGTCTGGGAGTGCTCTGGGAGTGGGGGCTGCACCCCCACAGGGCAGAGCCCCAAAGAGAGGTTTGGAAACAGCTGAGCTGGACCTTGGCCATGAAAGCAGCTGGGAATGAGCATCCAAGGGAGCCGAGTGCCGACAGCATCCAGGCACAGCCCCGCTCCAGTGATGGGGGCTGGGGAGGGGCTGATGAGACCCCCTCTCTCTGCCCACCCAGCTGAGCCCCTCACCTGGCTCCTCGGGGGTCCCGCAGCCCACCCAGACGCAGTCGGTGCCGTTGTGGGAGTGGCTGCTGGCTGTGCACATCTCGCAGGACCTCAGCTTGCCACACTCTCCTGCCAAAGCCAGGGAAAAGCGGTGAGGCAGGGGCTGGAGCCCCAGCTCCATGGAGGGACAATCCTGAGGATGCAGCAGGAGGGATGAAGGCACATCCCACAGCACCAAACCCAACAGCCCCGTCCTGACGGGCTGCTCGTAGCATCACCAGCCCTCCAGCGAGGGGACACCCCACAGCCCCAGCGCCCACCCAGCTCACACAGGGCTCACCCATCACCCACAACGCAGCAAACATCCCCCAGCACCGGGATCTGGGATCTTTTGGTGGAGGCTGAAGTGAGATGAGGCGGCAGCACCAGCCTGCTCGGGGTTACCTGAGCCATGCCACCCCTCTGCCCACCCAGGCCACCCTGCAGGACCCCCCGTCCCCATCGGTGAGCCGGTGAGTCACCCTGGTGTTTGCGGAGCTGCTCTTCCCCCACTCTCGCTCATCATTAATTTACAGCGCTGGCTGGCGGCGAGGGAGGCTGCGAGGAGCCGCGGCCGGGCCCTGCCCGCACCTCGCTGCGTCCCAGGGCCGCGTCCGCAGCATCCCGGGAAAGAGCCGGGAGCCGTTCCCCAGGCTGGAGGTGTTTCCGGGCTCCCAGGGGCAGAGCCTCTCCCGGCGGGGCTGTGGCACGCTGCCATCCCCCCGGGCTGGCTCCCCAGGGGACGCAACAAGCGCCAGGCATCGCTGCCGGCAGCGCTCCCCATCGCACCGCTTCCCTCCGGAGGCACCGCCTGCAGGCCCCCGGCTCTCAGGGCTCCCTAAAAACCAGGCGCGGCTGATGGAGAAGCCCCCTCAGTTCTTTGCCAGGAAAAGCCGAGGGGCCGGCGGTGGCGCAGGGCAGGAAGCGGAGATGCTGCGGCCCCATTGCCATGGCTACGGGAGGGGGAGGTGGGCACGCCGCTGCCCCCCCTCCAGCATTTGGAGACCTGCCGGGAGCCAATGGGAAAGTAGGACTTTGTTCGCAAGGCTTTAGGCAGGTTTATCATTTATTTTTATCGCGGCAGGCGCAGGAACAGACGTTTGAGCCCAACGCTGTCAACTCCCGCTCCTGCCGTCAGGTGTGGGGAGGGAGGGGGAATAAA